TTTCAGGCTGCATTCATCTGCACTGGGTATTTTCTTTCAGCTGCAAACATCTCATTGAGATGAATGGGCCACTTCACACCACTCTGACCCTGCTGTGCTGCTGATGTGTAGAGCCTGTTCTCCCTGTTCTCCTAATTTCATATAATATTATAGTGGAGCGCCAGCTCTGCTCTAGCTAAGGTCGGGAAGCTATTCGTGCTTAAAGATTGACTCTTCTTAGTATTCTAAAATCCATATGCTTACATGGATTAACTTGAAATTTGCTATATCTTGTGGGAGTGTAGTGTAGGATTAGTAAAATATCCCAGAGTGCATTGTCCCACATGGTGCTGTGTGCATGGCCTCTGGGCCTCTATGCCCCCTTGAGGTGTTATAACCTTGTCTATATTAAGACAGCTTTTTGAAAAGTTTCCATTGTAGTTAATACTGTTTGAGCTTCACTAGTGTTAGTAATAGTGGGAGCCAACATTTTAAACATTGTTTCCTCTGAGCCTGCTTATAGTACTTCTAATCAACATGGTACGTCAAATGCTGGTTTATAAACATGTAGGGTTTCTTTTGTTGCTAACACCACTAAAACTGAACTAATACTGGCAGTCGTGGGAGGCTTTCTTTCTTTCTTTGCAAAATTGCAATAGCATAGAACAGATAGTTGCCCAGATTTTCCCAGAGTCCACTGATATTAGAACATCTAAGTAGGGTAGTAGGTGTTGCCATGTAAAGCACAGTTGTGATGGTAGAAAAGTTGCTGTGTGGATGCAAATTGAACTGTTTTCTTTTAACCAGTTAAGGTGATCTTTCCCCTTAATCATGATTTTGTAATCAGTTAGGCTGTGTCTACACTAAAACTAAGTCTGCTCCCTGGTTCACTACCTTATTTCTCAGCCTTGAATCAAGCATCCGGGATTCCTTTTTGTGCTCCTTCAATTGCTCTTTCTCTTGTTGTCAAACAGCTGGATTGGCTGCCATGATTTGTCTTCCCCCTTTCTATAACGAAGATGCAAAAGCACAAAAAGAAATCTCTGGCCAGCACAGTTAAGGACAATAAGGTTAAGTATAACAGGAATAAAAGGAACCCCAACAATGGTATTATCCATTAATGGAACAACTGTCAATAATGCAAAAGCGTAAGCATTCAATAAACATTTCTGTTCTGTATTTGGGAAAAAGTCAGATGATATATTCATATCAGAAGATGATCATGATGAGGTCTAGATATTGACTTGTGACACATACAAAAGAAGAGAAGAGACACAAGAATGATCAAAAGATTGGACAATGTGCCTTTCAATGAAAGACTCAAGGAGTTCAGTCTATTTAGTTTACCAAAAATAAAGTGAAGGAGTGATTTGATCACAATCTGTAAATTCCTACAAGGGGAACATAAATTTGATAATTGAGGGGTCTTCAGTTTATCAAAAAAGGTGCAACAAGATCCAATGGCTAGAAGTTGAAGCTAGACAAATTCCTACTAGAAAGAAGGTGCAATTGTATAAACATTGGAACAACTTAACACACATCGTGGTGGATTTTCCATCACTGGAAATTAAGTCGAGTTTGAATGTTTTTCTGAAAGATATACTCTACTTCAACCACAACCATTGGACTTGAAGCAGGAATTAATTCAGACAAGTCCTCTGGTCTGTGTCATTCATGAAATCAAACTAGATGATCACAATGGTCTGGCCTTGGGATCTGTGACTTTACCTGAATAGCCCTTTGTCTCTTGAGTTGGGGTAGATTTGCAAGCTACTTAAGGGCCTGGATGTGGGTAGATTTTTTTTTTTTTAAATGAAACCTAGGTAGGAGAGGAGAAACTAAAGTATGTGCAAGGTTGTATGCTAAGCAGTTGGTGTTGCCTGAAGAGCCCAGGCCAATGGAAAAAAAAACATTAATTTCTCCATCATAGAACATAACATCCTCCACGCAATAAGTATTGCTTTCTTTACAATGGAAATTTAGAGAGAGAACTACATTGTTTTTTGTAATAAGCCAAAATCATTCTGAACTTTTTAGGAGTCAATATATTATTCTTTCAAGTTAAACTTTAATTTGCACCAACAGAGCTGTGAGTAGCATGCTGGTGTATTACTTCATAATAATAATTCTTAGACTTTTTTGAAAGCAGCTCAAACCATTATATGAAGTAATATTCAAAACCAGAAAAAGTGTGTGCATGTGTACATAGAATATAACAACATACAAAAAACTACATCAAAAGAACACTGAGGTTGAAAAGTCAAGCTCTCAAAAGTGGGGAAATGCCAGAATTAAGGTTGCCTATGCAACTTTTAATTCAGCCTCCCCTATATGTATGCATTGTGATACAACCTTTAATTACATCTATCCTACAGTTCTTGCATAGACACCTTCCCCATTCAGTGTACACAAAGAGAGTGCTCACTGAACGGGTGGCTAATCAATATCTTTATACCCTCAGCATTCAGTGTTTGTGGGTCCTGGGCTGGCTTACTGCATGGCACCCAACACTTGCAGCAAATACAGAATTTTACATTTTCTTATTCCTTTTTTATGGCACCCATTACCGCAGTATCTGAGTGTTTCACAAACATTATTTAATTTATCTTCACACTATTCCTGTAAGGCAGAGAGAGATTGTTTGTTGTATCTAGATCAGTGGTCCCCTAACTTTTCATGGTCAGCCCCCCCCCATGGGAGCCAGGCCCGGGAGCAGACAGGGTAAAGGGGCCAAAACTGGGGCCACAGCTGGGGGTGGGGCTGGGAACGGAAGCCATAGCAGGGCTGCAACTGGTGGCAAGTCTGGGACTGGGGCCGGAGCAGAGCTGGGGGCAGAGCAGGACCTCCTCTCTCTCCATGGGGTCTAGCCAGGGCCCCACTGCGCGCCCCCCACAAAATGTTCATCTGCACCCCTCTTGGGGGGTGCCCCACAGTTTGGGGATCTCTGGTCTAAATTGTTTTTAAAAACAAGCCAGGAAAAGAGAATTTCTTTTTGCGTCATTGTGAATCTTTATATCCATTGCACAGACCTTTACCGCTTGAGCTAATGGAGTAACTGGTAGCAGTAGTAGGCTTTTATCCTCCATTTAGACCAGTCACTAGCTGGGGATAGGATACACAGTTTGCAGTGGGTTCTACAAGAATTTTCTAGACAGCGAATGAATGTTAGGACTTGGGCGTTCTGGAGGGGAGTATAGTGGTTACAGACCCTTCTGTTGTTTTCCTTCCTCAAGCCTATCCCCTTTTGGACTTGGGCCCCCTTTCTCTACTTTTATCCACCTCCAACCTACACCTGTCCATTCTGCTCCTCATCCCTCTGCATTCAAGTAAGGTGCCTTTCTCCTCCTCCTCCATGCTGCTTGGCTGCTAGCCTGGGAAGCACTGAAAGCAAAGGAGAGAGAGTCTCCTTCCTTTCAGTTTTAGTGTCAGGCATCACAGTGGCCCCCAGCAGATAGGATGAACAATTGCAGGGAAAGTCCTGAAGCCTTGGAATTGAGTATGAACAATGTGGCTGGCATAAAGGAGGTATGTGGGACTGGAACATGTTCAGTGCAGACAGAATGTTTGGAGAATTTAGCTGCCAAATTCTGAGAGGCTTCCACTGAGCATGTGCAAATAGCCATTTGCATAGGGTTATAAATTGGCCATATTTGGGAGAGTTTTCACGGGAGAAGCAAAGTACATGACCCTGACCCCAAAGGGACCTCTGTGCCCATCTTCAAGTCTCTACTCTAAAGCATGGAGGTGCTAGAATTTCTCAGTGAAAATGGTTGTAAGAATTTTTTTAACACTGGCAAAAAAGCATATTTTTCCCTAACTTTGTCCTCAGAAATTGTTGAATCATTTTTACTGAATGGTTTAAAGCTTGGCAAAGTTATAAGCAACTAAAACCAGTTTCTTAGAATGTACAGTATTAGGCAAATTTAACTATAGGAGTCCCTAGACAATAAATTACATATAAAATGTAAACTCAAATATAAGGATTGGGTGCTGTCTACTTACAGGACAAAAAGACTGTGCCAACTATTTTGAAACTTACAGACGCTCTCAGCCTCATAAATGAAGGGCACATACATTTAAAAAAGTGATGTTACATTGTAGAGGAAAAAGCATGAAATTGTTCAGAATTAGTTGTTTGTGAAACACCCACAATACTTCAGTTTCATGTCAGCATCATGATTTAAAATATGGAACAAGCCCAAATATTTTTATGGAGTAGAATTCAGTGATGGATGCACTCTTGTTAAACAGGAATGAGAGAAAATGAACATTTGGTAGTTCAAATTGTGTAAAAAGAGGGGAGAGTATTGTACCAAAAACAAAAATCGGGTATCTGGTAGACATGTGGGAAAATCATGTAAAATTCAAATGAAGTGCTTTTTAAGGCAAGCTTAAAAATAAAAATGACAAAAATCGTATAACCTTGTGACCAGAGATGATAAGCAACAATGATAAACATATGTTTGATCCACTGCAGTGTCTCTGTGGAATCTTTGTAAAGGGTTTACAGTGACAATTTTAAAGTTGCTATTCTGATATGAACAGAGAGGAACCTGTTGATACACTGGTAAACTACTCCTGTACCACAGTCTTTATCTTTGCAAATTTCTGATTTTTTTTAATTGAAGTGCTGTTTTTTAAAACACTAATATAGATGATTACAAACACACACACAATAGCTAATGAAACAAAGCACATATCAAAATAATACTGTCAGTGACAAATGATTACTATTTAAAGACAATAATCAACTGTTTTCGTAACACTTTATTATGGTTTCTTACATTTTTTAATACGACTTTTTTCCTCAGTCCTTTTTAGATTGTTTTATTTATTCATACGCTGTAAGGTTTGTATTCTAAAATATTAATTAGTCTCAGACATATACAGTACTAGCTTTATGTATATAAATATTTTTTTATTTTAACACCGTGCATGCTTCTGTCTCTCTATCTTTACAATTTCCAGAAGATTCTACGCACTTTAAAAGTATAACATAATATTTTCATGTTTCTTTTTAGTATACCTCCAGATAATCTTTCTATTCAAGAGTTTCAGAGAAATGAGAGTATTGATGTTGAGGTGAGGAGACTAGAGTGTTTTTGTATTACCTTATTATAAACTAACTAGGAATGTTCAAACTCATAGGTAACTGTCATAAATTAACATCTGGAGAAAACGATGGTTGATACTGAATTTTACTAACTTGGCTGCAACTTCTTTTTTGATCAGTAAAAAAAGATGATAAAACCAGGGGTCCAGATTGTGGCTGGCTTTTGGGGTGTGCTTAGGGGTGGGAAGACATGCACAAGGAGTTCTTTGTTGGTATCAACTAGGGTGCAAGACAACCCCAAGGAATGGGGGCAAGTGGAACATGTCTCTGCCTCCCACACATTATCTGGTTCTGCATAGAGGGAATGCATGTGGCAGCCTCCTAAGGGATGGCATAATTGCTGCAATTCTCCAGATATCACTGAAGCCTCCTACTTTCCTGAATTAAAAAGTCTCCTAAGCTTTCTCTGAGAAAGTGCAGCTCGATCCAATCCCATACTCAAGGTCATACTTTCATGGCACAATCTGCCCCATAATTGTTAAATAGAATTATTTCTGTATTCATAAATAGTCCTTATTAAACGTTCATAAAGGACCACACTGTGAACCCCTTACTCCCATTTGTGAACTGTTACTCACACAAGTAACTGCTTACCATTTGAGAGTAAATGTTCACAACCTGACCTAAAGTGAATGCCTCATGTTGCACTTTCTTAAGAGTGAAGCAACACTCTTGATTGGCCAAGAGATGATACGCATTCAGTAATCATGATTATTTAAGCAGTGACTGTGTTCACCTCTTTAAAAAACAAACAAACAGGAAGATATGGTCCTTGCTCCAGAAACTTTAAATCTGAATGAACAGATGAAGCAACTCAGACACACAGTGCCCTTGACGACCTCAGGCAGGTTATCAGACCGCACTGCAGTTTAAATGGGTGTGTTACAGTACTTGGTAGGGTTAACATTGGAAAAGCCTTGGAGAAGGAAGAGAGACTGGTCACTTTTCACACCAGGGCTGAGATAGGAGTTCTAGGTTGAAGGGCAGTGATAATTAAGTGCTTTAGCTTCAGTTACCTCCCAAGGACTGCAGCCAGGATATACAGAGCTCAGGATTAAAAATGGAAGCAGGGTTCCCTGTAGTGGCCTAGATCAGTGGTTCTCAACCTACACAAGTCTTCCAGAGGATACATCAACTCATTTAGATATTTGCTTAGTTTTATAACAGGCTAAATAAAAAGCACTAGCAAAGTCAGTACAAACTAAAATTTCATACAGACAGTGACTGGTTTATACTGCTGTATATACTCTACACTGAAATGCAAGTAAAGTACTTCTAATTGATTTATTTTATAATTATATGATAAAAATGAGAAAGTAAGCAATTTTTCAGTAATAGTGTGCTATGATACAAATATATTTTTGTCAGATTTTGTAAGCAAGTAGTTTTTAAGTGAAGTGAAACTTGTGGGTACGCAAGACAAATCAGACTCCTGAAAAGTATCAGAGGGGTAGCCGTGTTAGTCTGGATCTGTAAAAAGCAACAGAGAGTCCTGTGGCACCTTTAAGACTAACAGATGTATTGGAGCATAAGCTTTTGTGGGTGAATGGCCACTTCGTCGGATGCATGAATTTTGTACTCCTGAAAAGGGGTACAGTAGTCAGGTAAGGTTGAGAGCCACTGATGTAGATCTAGTATGCAGTAAAACAGACCTACTGATGGGCATGGGACCTAATTGTCCCATGTTAGTTCCTCTCAGGATCAAGCCAAAAGAGAACCTTCTCTTATAAACACATTCTTCTGCTTGGTCTTGTTAATACACTGTCTTAATCTTCTAGTTAAGATGGAGTAGGGAGGGGAAGAGGAGATTTGGTTGTGAAGGTCAGATTGTCCCTTTCCAAAACTCTCTAAATTCAGTTTGAAGTAAACTTTTCAGCAATGATTTTCAAAATTCAGTGGGATCTGTTGAGTGATCTGCCCTTCAGAAGATCAGGCAGATGCCTAAAATATGAATTTAGAAGCCTAATTTTAAGCTCCTATTTTTGAAAAATTTAGCCATCCTGTATTAGCAATTTTACAACAGTAAGCATAATAAATATAAAAGATGTTGCTTCAAGTTTCACTGAGCATGACCATTCATACTTTATTTGAACATTGTTTTCTTACACTTAATGAATGCATCCAGACTATAACTTTCTGTATCTTGTTCCATTTCTTTAAGTGTATATATGTCTTCTAAGTGTTAGTTATAATTTTAATCACTGAATTTTTCCTAGAAAACAAATTTTAATGTATTTCATTTGTTTTAGGTGGTGCAACTCATCAGCACAGAGATACTGCCGTATGCTAATTTTATTCCCAAGGAATTTGTTGGTCAGATAATGACTATGCTTAATAAAGGTTCAATACATTCTCAGTCATCCTCATTTACGGGTATGTTACCTCAATTATAAACAAAAGATATAAGAACAGTGTACAAATCCCGTGGAAGGCAAATTAAAATGTGCATATTACAATACCGATTTTACCAAAGATTTTAAACTTCACCAATATCATGAATAAGTTCCCAGCCCACAGAGATGATCTCAAATACTATAATCTCTTAATCTATGGGATAAATTTCATGCTATGAAGAAAGCATAGTATTCTGGTAATATTTCTGCATTTTGGGGTAAATATCTTGTTTAAGGATGCACTCTTGTCTCTTTGTACTTACCTAGGCTTCGAGTCTTTTTTTTTTTTTTTTTTTTAACTGTCTTCCTCCACTTCCCACTCA